GACTTCTAGTCTGCTGTACGGCCGAACGGCGGGAGTGTACGGTACAGCAGGACGGGTACGTTTTGTCTTATATATATATATAATTTTTTTTTTTTAAAAAAACTTTCAAACAATGACATAAGGACGACAGCAAGGAATGGTAGTGAAGACGTGGTTTTGAATTTTAGTTGTAATATGTTGCTTCTGGAACCCACTTTTAAGAAAATAAAAGTTTTGAGAAGGCTTGACTGGGTAATGAAAAAACTTTATTATAACTGTACACATTTTAACAAGATTTTGTTATCCTCAAGTACTTTACAGAGATACATGAGTATATATATATATATATATGTGCAGTATAGAACAAAGAGATCACATGACAGGATATTGCTTCACAGTCTGACTTTTTCTGATCACGTAAACTCTATTCACCCTAACACTGAATTTACCGTTGAACAGGAAAATAACAAACAATTTTCTTTTCTTAACCTCAACATTATCAGATCCGACAGACATTTCAAAACCAAAATTCACCGAAAAATCACTCGCACAGGTCTCTACTTTCCCTGGAAATCCACCCATGAATCCAAAGAAAAAATGAATATACTAAAAAATCTTATACACACAGCTTAAAGACTTTGTTCAACTGAGTACATAGATGAAGAAATCAACTCTATAAAGCATTCCTTCATTCACACCAACAAATTTCCACTAAACATTGTCGAAACATTTCCACACAACCACCATAACAAAAACCTCAAACTCACAAACAGAATTTACAGTAATACACCAAACAACAACACAACATTACACTGCAGTTTACCATTTATCCCTGACATCAGCTCAAAAATAATCAACACTTGAAGAAAACTTGCCATCAAACATAAAATTTCTGTTGGTAAAATTCATCCCAAAACCTAGCACTAAACTAAAATCATTATTAAATAAAAATTACATAGAATCACACAATTCCAACATCATTTATAAAATAATATGAAATAACTGACCAGAATTTTACATTGGAGAAACAGGTAGAAAATTGGAAACCAGATTCACTGAACTTAATAAAAAACCCTCCCATGTTTACCACTATTGCAACTAAAAAAAACATAATATATCCATTCAAAACACTGTAATTTTAAACAAAGAACCTAGCATCAATAAATGTAAAATAACAGAAGCTGTTTTAATTGAAGAATACAATCCCACCTTAAATCAACACGCCGGGGTACCAAGATACCTATATTAGACTGTGAAACAATATCCGGTCATGTGATGTCTTTGTTCTATACTGCATATATTTATACTCATGTATCTCTGTAAAATACTTGTACCTGAGGATAACAAAATCTTGTCCAAATGTCATACAGTTGTAATAAAGTTTTTTCATTACCCAATGAAGCTGCTTCAAAACTTTTAAGTTCATTATTGTTTTATAGTGCAATTTTAATCATCTATGAACAATTAATATATCGCATAGCTTTGTATTTATTGATTTATTTATATATATAAACACACACACACACAAGCATTCAAGTTTAAATCATAATGTTTATACCATTACAAAATTAGTCTACAAAAGAGGTAGAGGAATTAACTGTTGTAAAATCTATACTTTTTTACCAATGAACAAAATTTAATGAACAAAGTTTAAGGTGGTAATTTTGAAGCCAAGTGATTAAACAATTAAGAACTTATTCAATGAATCCCATTCTCCTGTACTTGACTCTAACCCATATAATAGACACTAACCCAAAATGCTTAAAATTGCAAGAGATCATTGCAAAACATATCCCATAATGCTTCAATTGAACAATACTTTTCTCAGCCTTGAGCCCTTTGCTTTAAGATACTGACAAACAATGTTACTTTAGCTGTTGTAATTGTAATTGTAATTGTAATTTTTTTTAAGTTTCAACCTCTTTTAGTGATAACTACACATTGGAAGAATTTTTTAAACGAACAAAAGCAATTTAGATGTAAACTAACTTTGAGTATTAATTAGGTCCCAGATGACTAATACTATATTATAGTTATATTCCAGATTACAGATCCTGTACAATCTCAGTTTTCACTAAGTTTTTTTTTTCAGAACCATGTGCCCATTTTAAATTACATACGATGTATTAAAAAAAAGTATAAAAGAACTAACATCACTTTTATTTTGTTATTATTATCCACCCAAAGAAAACTAATAAATATTTTGTACTAGAAGTTGATAGTTTTACTTTGTATACACATTTATATTGCTGGTTTGTTATTCTGTTAGGTTCACCAGTGGGTGACAAAATTTGAAACATTTCCACTTCTGTCAGAGGAAGAAAACTGTGTACTTATTGAAATAACACAAGAAGATATTGATCATTGTGTTCGATCAATTCCCAAACTGGATACTCTAGTAAGTTACTTTCTTGAACTTATACTTGCTTGAAAATTTCTAAGATTCTGAATTTTTAGAGTTTTACTAATGTTTTTTAGCATACCCTACACTACACACTACAGTAAGTTGTTTTCTTTGACTTTACCTAGTGTTTACAGTTTATATATTAGATGCTGTTGTATGATACATTTCTTGGCATCCTCAGCTGTTTATTTTTACCCTCTAACAGATACTGTTATTGGTTGTTTCTTTGACTTTGCCTGCTGTTTACTGTCACCCTAACATAGAAACTGTCATGGATTGTTTCTTAGACTTTACCTGGAATTTTCGTCACATGAACACAGATACTATCAAGGACAATTTTTTGACTTCACCTTTATTGTCATGGACAGTTTCTTAAACGTTATGTGCTTTTTACTGTCACCCTAACACAGATACTGTCTTAGATTGTTGTTTTTTTACTTTATGTACTATTTACTGTCACCCAAACACAAATACTGTCTAGGATTGTTTCTCTGACTTTATCTGTTGTTTAAAGTCACCCTGATATAGATACTGTCATGGGCAGTTTCTTTGACTTGAACTACTGTTTACAATAATCCTGATTAAGATGTTATGATAGGCTAAATATATATTCTTGAATTTCATGAGTTACTTACATTCTTTATAAACTAAATGTTTGGGATTGACCATTTATGGTCACCTTACAGGAGTGTTCCCAGCTTTTTTACATCTGTTTTCAATCACAGGAGTCTGGAGGTTTGGTCCCAGCAAGGTAAGGGTGGAAGGTATAGCCTAGACTTCAAAATCCTTATCCAATAGCACAGGAGAAAACAGACCATACTACATATATATATATGTAGACACACATACACACACACACATATATATATATATATGTAGACACACATACACACACACACATATATATATATATATATGTAGACACACATACACACACACACACACACACATATATATATATATATATATA